GAGTGTCTCTCTGCTCCATTTCCATATTCTTTCCTCCTGCAGAACCAGGACCTGAGTCAGGTATCTTAAAAATCCCTCATGTTGCTTTGTCATTACTGGCCAAAGGGATTGAGTGGGGTCTTTGAGGACCAATCTCACTCTTAGGAATCGTCTCCAAGAACAAATAGCCTCAAGGAGCTCTGAGGAATTCAAACACAAAGGAATTTGTAGCTTAGTATCTATGCTGCTGGAGAAAGCAAAGAATTAGAGAGATTAATCAGGGCCGTTCTTAAAAGAATCCATTTATCTGGCCTGACCTAAATATTTTAAGCAAAAGAGTGTTGAGGTGTAGTTAAAAGGAGAATGGTCGAGGTTCACTTTGTAGAAAAAAAGTAAATGTCTGGAAAGCCAGAAGTGGCCCTTCTGTATTTCTTACACTCCCCACCCATCCCCCACCTCCAGCATTCCTGGACACACTGCAGTAAGGAATTATAAGCGGGCAGGAGAACTGGACAGAATAGCCCTCTACTAACTCCAATTTCCTGTGTAAACTTAAAATTTCCTCCCAAGACCTGATTTTATAGCTAGAAGATAATGATTCAATTATATATTATGTGGGAGGAATATTGGAGAATCGAAACTCAAAAAATTGGCCTTCAGGGAGTGTGGAGTACATATGTCTCCTTCCTATAGAGATTTGAAGGACAGATGAGCCTTCATAGCATCGGTAAGATCAGTGGCGTCTTACTTTCTCAGCCATTTGGAATTTGGGTTTTCTAGAGGTGGGCAGGGGGAGACTGGATTAGGAAGAAAGGGAGCAGGGTTTAGGCAGGGATTAATGATCCCTAACACTACCTTCTGGGCACTCAGCCTACCTGCCTTCCGTTAATCTAACACCATGAGGTAGCTATTATTAATCCCATTTTACAGATGAGAAACCATAGGCTCAAATGAGTTGCTAATGTCACTTAGAGGTTTCAGACCCAAGGCTTTTTCTACTCAACTTGCCTGTGAGAAGAGCTGGAGAATGAGTGAGTAGGGAGAGTAATATGGGACTGTGTGAGAAGGGAGGGTTGAAGGGAAGGAATGGGGCCTGGTGGGGCTAGTGCACCCACAGAAAGGACCTGCTTGTGAGCAGAGACTGGGAGCTGGGATGAGAGAAGGAGAAACATCAAGAAAGACAGGCTTCCTGTTTATTTTCCCTAAGCTTTCATGCGGCTTGCTGGAAACACGTGTTTGGGGATCTGCTCTAGGGCCCATCCACGTGAGACTTAGAACCTGTGTTATTAATCACAATGAGTTTATATTACTATTGTTGTCTCTTCTTAGTACACTTGACCTAGTGCAGGATCTCCAAAGGAGAATAGAGGAGGACCTAAGGGAACTGGTGGGTTGAGAGTTTACACCCTACCAAACTTGTACCTCAGTGAAAAGGGGGACTAAGGCCAGGATGAGTGTGGGAGTGAGGGTTTGTGTCTGCCTCATGTGAACATATGGTGTGTGGGTGTGGGTGTGGGTGTCAGGAGAGTGATGGTGACTGTGAGCTGTGTGTGTCTGCTTATGAAATTGGGTGGCGTGTGACCGGGTGGGCACATATGCTTCTGTGGTGGGCAGAAGTCTTGGCTGTGAGCTCAGGGATGCGTGGCTATGTCTAGTTACAGATCCACTGTAGGAATAGACACATTCAGGATTTGGGGCTTTACCAAAGGCAGACATCATGGTGACCCTTCTATACTGGTTAGCGTCTCACCTCCTTCCACCTGACCCAGTAGGAGAACTAGTGGGCAGAAGGTAAGGGGAGGCCGGTTTAAAAGGGGCTGGGAAAGGTCTCACCAGTTACCAGTTAGGACACTTCCTGCCTGTATCATCACACTTCCCCCTACCTCTAAGATTTTTCAGTTCTATTCTTCAGATCTTGCTACATTATCTACAGTGTTTTTACTAGAAACCAAACTCTAAGCTGGTTTCTTCATCCATTTCTCTCCTCAGCACCTCATCCTAATACCCTTCTATTGGGTTCTAAGTCCAGGAATCTAAAGGCAATTTTCTCCTAAATATTCAACTCAAACTTTGCATTATTACCCACACCCTCACCCTGGGACAGATTTTTTTCTCTAATTCCAGGCAGGGAAAGGGTCTTGTTTAAAGGTCCTTATAACTATAAAACACCATCATCTAGCAGCTAGGCAAATCTCTGGGCCTTGACTCAGATATTTGTGTAATGGGGGAAAGAATTTATAACCTAAGGTTGTTAACATGCAGCAAAGGAAGAAGTCTATATAAAAGATCTTATAATATGTCATGACACTCATGGGTAAGGAGTAATTTGCAGATTGCAGAAGAGTTAAAGGCTACAGTTTGGAAATATTGATAGCATAGCATTGATCTCCGAATGTAGAAAGGATGGCCTTTGGTGTGTTTTTTTGTTGGTTTTTTTTTTTGGTCTTATTTTGTTACCCTCAGTAGAGTGCCCTGGTGTCACAACTCACAGCAATCTCAAACTCTGAGGCTTAAGTGATTCTCTTGTCTCAGCCTCCCAAGTAGCTGGAGCTACAGTTGCCCGCCACAATGCCTGGCTATTTTTTTTAGAGACAAGGTCCTGCTCTGGCTCGGCTGTTCTCAAACTCCTGAGCTCAGGCAATTCACCTACCTTGGCTTCCCAGAGTGCTGGGATTACAGGTGTGAGCCACCGTGCTTGGCCTTTTTGATATGTTCTTGATAGAGGATTTCAAAACATAAAATTGAGGAACTTCCCCCTCCTTTTCCAGCGTTGGGAGTTAAGGATGGACTCCTGGGAACCTGAGTAGGAAGCATCTGAGGCCTCTGGAGAGGAGACATAGTCATGAGAGGCCTGTTAAGTGGGAAGAGGCTGAGTCTGTATCTCAAAACAGCCTTTGTGCTATCTCCTTAATGGATCTTATCTCTTTTTACTTTTTTGAGACAGAGCCTCAAGCTGTCGCCCTGGGTAGAGTGCCATGGCATCACAGCTCACAGTAACCTCCAACTCCTGGGCTAAAGCGATTCTCTTGTCTCGGCCTCCCACGTAGCTGGGACACCCGGCACAACGCCCAGCTATTTTTCTGTTGCAGTTGTCTTTGTTGTTTGGCAGGCCCAGGCTGGATTCAAACCTACCAGCTCTGTTGTATGTGGCTGGCACCTTAGCCACTTGAGCTACAGGGGCCGAGCCTGGATCTTATCTCTTATGGTAAGACTATTTACAACTGGTAAACTGACTTATAATGATAGATTAATATGGCACATGTAAATGATAATTTCAGATTTATGTCCTTAAACTTTAACACTCCAAATAGAGTTTACAGACTTCTCTTCATCGCTGAGTGACTTTTAAGAAGGATGTCTTCTCTTTTTTTGCCTCCCAAACCAACATACCTAATCCCCAATGCTACTCCTAAAGTTGGTAACCCATCAGAGAAGCACAGATCCTTCTGCATTCTTCTGTGTCTGGAAGTCCTTCCTGAAGTCTGCATATTCAAGGTTTGGAAGTTGGAATCTGATGTTTATTTTTTTCACCTTCCTCCAACCCAATTTTCTGGGGACAGACTGATCTTCCCACCTCCCTTCCTTTGCTTGGGGACCTCAGCAATCTGGGAGGCTAATGAACTGTGTCTCATTCGGAGGCCGGCTGTGCCAACTTCCCTGGGAGATAAATAAGTTTAGGTAAACACTTTAAAGTCACACGAGGGAAGGAGCCACAGAACTAAGAAAACACTCTTAGGGCTTTGAGGAAAGTGAAGAACAGGGTTATGGAAGGAAGGGTGGGTGGGTGGGTGCACATCTAGGTAGGAGCAAGATAAGAGAAAAGGGGAACCCCTTCTCTGCCACCCAGGCTCTCCCAGAGCTAGAGTGACACCCCCCCTCCTCCTGCCCTAATCCCCCATTAAGGCAGCTCTGAGTTTGTTATGACAGCGGCTGAAGGCGGCTGAATTGCTGTTTGCTGTGTCTGCTAATTGGACTGAAGGGTTGGAGTCTGGACACTGAAAGGGACTATTGTTGCTGTTTACCTTCCACAGCCACCTCTCTGGGGACCTTCTGGGTGAAGGGGAGCAGCACCCCCTCAGGGTTATTGCACCCATTCCCTGTTTCTGCAAAAGGGAGAGACAGTTTGTCATTGCTCTGAGTGGTTTGAGCTTCCACAGGAAGAGACAAGCCCAACACCTGAATTGGTCTCATCTCCTGGCCAAGCCCAGGGGCCATCCAAGAACTTCTAAAACGGGGTGCTATAGGTTGTCTTCCTCCTCCCTTTCATTTCCTTCTTTGGGGATCCTACCTTGTCTCTTCCTCTAGCTCATCCCTTAACCCCTGCATCTTTTCTTATCTGCTTTTTTCTAGACTAACAATTCTCAACTTGGTCATGCAGTATGTCACCTGGGGAGCTTTTAAAAAAAATACTGATATTTAGGCCCAGCCCAGACCAATGAAATCGGAGTATCTGGGAATGAAGTCTAGGCATCAGTATAATATCATTTAACATGCATCTAGGGTTAAGAATCACTGATTCAGGCTTGTCTGTCAGCCTGGGAAACACGTAGAAATGCACACACTTGAATGCATGCATGCACATGCACACATGCACACACAGACATGCCCTGATCTTTCCCTGCTTTTCCTCCCAAGCTCCTGATATCCATAACACTATAGGCAGGTTGTGTGTCTTTCTTATCTTTGTTACTAAATTGTAGGAGCCTTTGAATTTAGGTGGAATTTAGGGGTCTATACTCCTGGCTCAACATGAATGTTTCTCCTCAAGGGCAGGAACTATGGATCCATCTCCTCGTGGATTTCCACATGGGGTCCAGAGGAGGACTGAGCTAATCTGGGGTGCTTAAGTCATTAGGGATGAAGTTGGGGGAGATTCAGAGATTCATTGACTTCCATGTTCTTTCTCTTTCAAAGTAGTATTGGTAAATTGGAGGTCTTCAGAGAAGAGAAATTCTCTTCAGAGATACATCATTCTTCTTCCTTACTGTTCCAAATGTTTCTCCTTCTTCTCTTTCCTTTAGCAGCTTGCCTGGGGCGGGTGGGTGCACCACCACCCTCCCACCCTCTTTCCTCCATGTGGACTGCACAGTCACATCCAGCACCATGGACAGCTCCAGGCGGTGAGTGAGATGGCTGCTGACCCCCTCTGGGAGGATTAGGAGGGCCCTCCTGTCTGCACAGTCAGATATCAAAGATGCTAGGTTGCTGAATCTGTGGGAGTTGTTTGCAGTCAGCTGTGGAGGCTCAGGAAAGACAAAGGCTGAGGGAAGTTGGCATTCCTGTCTCTAGGAAATTGGCTTTGTCCTTATGTGGGGGAGTCTGAATGAGAGGGGCTGTTCTAATAGTAGGAAGGATGAAGGCTATATTTCAGGAAGGGCTTAACTGAAGGCCATGTAAGATATGGAGTGCACAGATCAGGGAAAGTGAAAATGAGCCTTAAATATCATCTGTCCTCACTTATCTCATGGTAGTAGAAGAGATGTGATCAGGTTGGCCAACCACTTAGTGGAAATGCCAAAATCCAGGCTCCTGAATTCTAGTCTTGCACTTTCTGTCATACCTGATACTTCCTTTAGGACTCTCCCTGCCTGAGTTGGGTAGAACAGAGGCCTGATACTGTAGGGGAAACTTTACAGGATACCCCCATACAAAAAAGGACAGGATGTCTGCCTGGGCATGTGAGGTGTCTTCAAAAACCAAGTAGAGGTGAGACTGACTGTGTCTCTGTCTGAGGTTTGGAGGGAAGGTCCTGGGGAGAAACACAGGGGAAGGTATACCTAAGCAGTATCTGGTGAGCCCATGGGAGAAAAGGGCAACCATCTGCCAGGGCACAGCAGCCAGTGGATGGCCACCAGGAGTCTCCAGAGGCCAGCAGGAGTCATGCAAACTGGAGCAGGGCCTGGGAAAGGCCCTTCTGTGTGCCCAGGCCTGCTCCCCCAACACCCGAGCCTAGAAACAAAGGGGCCATTCTCTCTAGGATTTGATGCTGCCATCTCCGGCTGGCAGTGCCAGGTGGTGGGGGCATCAATCCATTATCCTCCCCCCACAACTCCTAGGTCCTCTGGGGCTGGATGTTGGGGAGGTGGGTGTTCCATGCTATGTTGCCATGGCAACCCCCCACTCCCCCCAAAGCACAAAGACAGACAGCTTTCACCCCCACCCCCTACCCTCAGGAAGAACCTGGGTCTGGCTGGGAATCTTCCCTTGAGAATCCTTCTTCCTGAGGCACAAGCCATGGGGGCATAAGCATCGCCCTCTTTTTAGCACAGGGAACTGAAGGGTCTGCCATTGGCAGGCCACATAGGCAAGGAGGCTAATATGTCTAGAGCCTCTGGACAAGGCTGTGTAGGCACTGGTCCTTGTACTTAACCCCCTGTCTTCCCATGCTCTCTGGCCTCCCACCTATAGCCAGGACCATACTAGGCCTTCTCAGCTGAGGTGATGGGGTCTGGACTCCCAGAAGTGAGGGAGTCCACGACCCGCAGTGTACCTCCAGGCTGTGGGAACAGAGAAGAGGAGGGGGCCATTTCTGCCACCCTCCATCTGCACCCTCTGCCATTACTCATTAGGCATTCTGCCCCTCCTTCTGCTCGTTAAGCCTGATTTGCATATATTTGCATAATACAGTTCATTTGCATTCCAGGAGGCTCCTGGTAGAAGCCAGGAAAAAAAGGGGAGGGGGTTGGAAAAGAGAGAAAAGGGGAGAGATTTTGTTTTCATCAAAGTGTGGGGGGAGGGACCGGGGGAGGTGGCAGGAAGGGGACAGGAATAAAAACTCACACTACTTCTTTCTTCCCCTCTGGACTCCAGTGCCAAAAAGAGATGCCAAGGGGCAGCTTTTCTGTCCTTTCTTGTCTTGCTTCCTCCGGCCTTGGCTCCCTAGCCTGGCCCCCCACCTTGCAGGGCTAAGGCTTCAGAAGGCGGCCAGGCAGAAGGGTAGCACGGGGGATGGGGCCACGTCAGGTGGGCCGTAAGGTGGCACCTTGGCAGATGTGCTCCAGGCTGGCCCAGGGTTCTGGGCATGGGGGGACTAGGAATAGAGGATGGGAGAAGGGACAGGAGAGACCAGGGGTGGCAGTGGTCACCCAGGATGGCATATGGTTCTACAGAAGCAGGCGGTGGTGAGACCTGAGCCAGGCTCAGTTCCTGGAGGAGATGCAGGGCTATGGGCAGTTCAAGGAGCACGGAGTCACCTGCAAGAGTGGTGAGGGAGGAGCGCACAGGTGGTACCAGCTACCAGTTGGAAGGTCTTTCTGGGACATGCAAAGGGCCTCCCTGTGCTTGAGGTGACCTCCACCTTGGCGCCTCAGGCAACATCCATCTTCCATCTTCATGGCTGGTGTGACTGGGCCTCTCACAGCCCAGCAAGGATCCCTGGTCCATCCTGGAACTTGATCGTCCCTCACCTCCCCAGAGGATGTTATGCCTTCTTCCCAGTCTTCTCCTTTGGCCTTTTGTCCTTCTGTTATATCCATGATTATTTGTTCTTGGTTCCATTCATTCAGTCCTCTGAACTGACCAGTTCGCTTCCACAAGGGTTCCCCAGGTTCTGCTGTTAGTACACTTTCCTCTTCCTTCTCACTCTTTTCGCTCCACATTTACCATTTCAGCCATCATCTGAAGTTCTAAACTCTCACTCCTTTCTTTAGTCTTCACCTCTCCTAAACTCCAGATTCACACCCTAACTGGGACCCACCTGAAGTCCTGCTGTTAGCTTCCAGATCAGGTGCGGGGCTGGGGCATCTACTCAGCCAAGCCCAGTCACATGCCCAGGCCCTAGCTTCATGGAGACCTGGGAAAAGACCTGTGTTCTTAGTTTCTGTGGTGGCACATAAGTACAGCCTCCCTGCAGAATTCAGGATGTAGCCCGTCCCCCAGCACTGAGCCTCAGGTCTTGCCTGGTCCCTGCCTCTTGACTTCTATCAATGGCATCATTAACCCCCTAGGCCCTCAGGTTCAAATTTTGAACATTATCCTGGACTTGCCTCCCCACCAAATCAGTTACATCAAAATCCATCATTTCCTTCTTTGTAGCCCCTCTCATGTTCATATCTTTCTTTCACTTACCCCTACCTCTATGTCACCTCATTCATTCAGCAGGCATTTATTGAGTACTTCCTGTGTGCCAGGCACCATGCTGAAGGAAAAGTTGAACTACAAAGCTGCTATGAAGAGCTAGCAATCTGGTGGGGAGGCAGACACACAAATAATTACCAGCCGGTGTGAAAGGTGCTGTCCTGAAGACTGCAGAGAGTATGGGCCACCTCAGAAGCACTCAGGAAGGCTTCCTGGAGGACATCAAGAGATAAATGATAAAAGACAAACAGGAATTTGTCAGTCTTAGGAGTTTAGGGAGGTAGGTGGTGAGGAGTAGCCAGCACATGTGAGTCAAGGGTAAAGGAGAGTGTGGTATGTATAGGGACTCACATGCCCATCAAAGGCCGCCTATGCTGGGAGGAGGTAGGGAACGGAGGCAGGAGTCCCACTGTAAAGAGCAGGGGTCCTCAAACTTTTTAAACAGGGGGCCAGTTCACTGTCCCTCAGGCCATTGGAGGGCCAGACTGCGGGCCCAGGAAAAGTTGGCTGCTAATCAGGACAGAAAGCAGCGGCAAAAACACCCATAGGGCAGATAAATGTCCTAGGTGGGCTGCATGTGGTCTGCGGGCCATAGTTTGAGGACGCCTGGTAAAGAGCCTTATGCATTGCACCAGATGTCCTGGGGAGGTTAGCTGACAGCCCAGGGACACCAGGTGTGGGCATGGCAAAAAGCAATATATAGCCAATCTGAGGCAAGGCACTTTTGAATCTGGCTGCTCCCTGAGCCTAGCAGACAGTTAACTGCTTCTCAGTTAACTCTGAACAAATAAAGGAACATATAAAAGGCCTGGAAGCCACCTGAGGAAGGGAAGCAGATCTGCCACCCTCCTTTCAGAATCCCAATCCCACACACTGGGGGTGGGCAGCTTGTAGGACAGAGATGTGGAGAAGCTGAGGTTGGTGGTCCCACTATGAGCAGGAGGGGGCAGCTGGGGGATAGGAGACAGAGATGCTGGCCCCAACTTTATGAGGCAACCAGCTAGTCCCTGAGCTTTCATATATATGTATTTAATATATATATTAAAGTTCAGTAGGTCCAGGGCTACAAGGCTGAGAAGGCTGGAGTGAAAAAGCAGACAAGGGAGTTTCATCCTGGCAAGGTCCAGGAAGAGGGAGAGAGGGAGGGAGGGGATCCTGGGCTCTGAGGGGATTCTCCTTGGAAAAAGGAGGTGAGAGGCTGGAGAGGCAGCCAGGAATGCGCACAGGGTGCCACCACCACCACCCATCCCCCAGCTCAGCCTGTGCACAAAGGCCTCTCTGTGGTCATGGAAGTGGCCCTGTCAGGTGAGGGGGCTTAGTCCCAGGGCCTGCAGTGGAATGAGGCTGAAGGAAGTGGGGGCTGAGGGATGGCTTTAGTGAGGTCCAAGCAAGAAGTAGAGAAGTTTAGGCCATTGTGCTCTGATCAAGCTGTTCCAGAATGGGCTCCTCCCCATCACATCATCCAGTCAGAGCTCCTGGTGCCCTCCATGCCCCCCCCCACCCCCCTGCTGTCACTCCTGATCCTGCTAGCCTCTCCAGCCTTCCCTACCTTCATACCTCTTGGGACTAACCTCTCTTGAGCCTCCTCCTCTGCCCAGCATAGGCCCCAGGGAGGGCTGCTGGGAGGGGGAAAGAGATTCACCGGAGCCAGAAAGGGGTCCCCAGGCCTCCTTGGCCTCCACACCCACTCTTACCTCCCACAGGGGAGCTTTCATTCCTGGCCTGGCTGCAGTGGCACTTTCCCTTCCTTCCAAGTCCCTATTGGGCACACTGGACCTTCCAATATCTGCTTGGATTTAGGGTTCATGAAGAGGTAGAAAGCAGCAGGTACAGCCTCAGCTTGCTGGTGCCCCAAATTGGTAGGCAGAAGAGGTCTATCCACCAGGGGACAACAAAAGGAAGATCTTTGGGGTTTTGATTCTGAAACTGAACAAACAGGCTGGTCAGGATACAGATTCTGCCTTCCCCTATTTACTAGCCGGGTGACCTTAGGCAAGTCACTTAATGTCTTCGGAGTCTACTGCCTTCCTTGGTCATCCTGAAGGTCATTTGGAAGGCTGTGTGCAGAGGCACAGTGTTAGATGCTAAATGCTGAGGGACACGGTTACAGGGGCTGTTGCAGGTAGGTAAGACAATCAAGGAGAGTCCCTGGGAAAAAGGGGGAGGGTTCTGAGTGAATCCGTAATGAAGGCCCAACTGAGAGTCTAGCTGGGCCCTGTGGCCAACACTCTTGTGGCCTCAAGTAGGTGGGCATCCCATGAGACTGGTATGAGAGGGGCCTGTGGTTACCAGTCAGGTGGTAACTCCATGACCACGCTTCTTTCTTTCGTCCTTCTCAGGAAGAATGTCCTGCTGGTCCTGTGCAGCCAGTACCCTCTGTCAGTGAGGGGAAGAGAGGATGGGTAGGGTGGGGTTCTATCTGCTGGGACTGCCCATGCCTGCCCTGCTCCCTCCCTGCAGCCCTCAGCCTCAGGTCCCCTAGAGGGAACACCATTGGTTGTGGTGAAATCACCACCGAATGTGTCCAGAGTGATAGCTCCAAGCCCTGCCTCTCAGGACCCTCTCAAGTCTCCCAATTTTTGGTTCCTCAGCGTTGTCCAGGGCATTGTTCAGAGAAGTCTGAATTCAGACCTCTTTAGGTCCCCAGGTCCCTGGGCCAGGGAGACTTTGAGCAGGAGACTCTTTTGCCTCTAAGCAGTTATTCCTTGTCATACAAGCAAGAGCCAGGAGGAGAAATGGTCTTGGCATCACCCCCACAGATAGCAATGGGCCCTTTAGGCCTGGAGAGAAGGACCAGGCTGAGGTTGGCATATGGTGGTTGAGCCCTGGGCACAGGGCATGAGCTTTACCCGGCTGGGGCTGCCTTCTGCTGGGTTTGTCCATCTGGCACCAGCTGGCTTCCCAGTACCGCCCCCACAACCAACCAGCCTCCTTCTTCTGCTGTTGCCATGACAATTGGCTGCCATCTTGCATGCAGGGCATTACCTCTGATCTGGATGTTCCCATGGGGTTCCTGGAGGGTGAGAGATAGGTCTCCAGGGATCTATCCCTTCTTGATAGCCGCCAAATAAAAACTCACATTAATATATTATTTTTTTAATGGCCAAAATGGAGATTTGCTATGTGTCAGGCTGTGTGCCAAATGCTATCCCTGTTATTTTATGTGGCTAAGAGAGAATAATGAAATAGATTTCACACTGAGTTCCCACCCAGTTTCCTGCTTCTGTGATGGACCTTTCCTCTCTCCAGCCAGGAAATTCTATGACCTTGCTTATTCCTGTCTTAGGAAGTCCTTTCCGATGTCTAACTGAGATCTATACTGCTATGGCACCAGCTCTTTGACCCTTGGCTTGACATGACTGAGTTGAGAGGTAAGGAAGGAACTGCCACCTAGCTTTGGTCACTTTATGAAGACTGCTGGACTTCAGCTATAGGGAAAATGAGGTTGGCTAGCTTGGTTTAGAGAAGAGGCATCAATACCCTAAAATGCTTTGAAATTCTCTCCCTTTGTCCCCATCAGCCCCCATAAAAAGAGGCAGGAGGCAGAGACCTTTGGAAAGGGATAGTCTTCCAGGCTCTCGGGGGACTCCCTTTGGAAACCAGTTTCTACCTCCTGCCACTGGGGTGACTCCTCAGGGTGCCTGAGAAATCCTGGAATGGTAAGAGCTCCCCTCTTCTGGAGCCCAGCTAGAAGACAGAGAATTGTCACCTTGACCTAGAAGGACATCTATAAGGGACACTAAAAGGGGCCAGCTTTGCCAAGGGAATCCTGAATGAGGAACAGGTGGAGAGAAAAAGGAGGCCATTTTTAACTGAGGAAGGGTAGGCTGGAAAGAAGGGGCTGGGGTAATTTATGATATTGTTGTCCCCCACCCTACTTTCCCAGCCACCACTCCTCTCCCCAGCCCCCTACTACTGTACGGTTGCTAGGAGAGCTCTGTCTGAGATTGGGAGGGTTGAGGACCAGGCAGGAGGCTGTTCCATCTGGACTCCTCCTCCCCCACCCAGGCCCACACTCAGATGCATCCACCACCTCTTCCTAGGCCCCAGCACAGCCAGTCTCTGCTGCTGTTTCCCCGCATCTAGGCAGCCAAGATGTAGCAGGGCGTACAGGCAGGCTGAGGATCTAGAGCAAGGAAGAGGCAATAGAGCGTGGAACAAGAGAGGCTGACAGGCTTGAAGGGGGCGCTGCCTGCTGAGGCCAGGGAGCCAGTCAGAGGCAGTCAGGGGTACTGGCCTGGTGGAGCCCAGGCTTGAGGAAGTTAGAGTCCTTCTCAATATGAAGGCAGAGCTCCTATCCCTACCTCTCCAAGCTATGAAGGTCAAAGTTAGAGACCCAGCAAAGAAAGGAGGAGGAAGAAGAGAAGGAGGAGCTGGGGCAGAGAGGAGGGAGGTAAGTCTGAAAAGGCTGAGGAGAGTCGTCTAGGAAGGAGGGTAAGATTGACCATTATGTAGAGTTGGGTGGTGTGTGGGCGTGGCTGAGTGTCCTTCCTCTTCCTGAAATTCTCATTTTAAGGTTCTTAGATAAAGAGGACAAGGTGAACTCTGAGGACTTCCAAAGCTGCTGGCTCCCAACTCTGGATGGGTCAGGAAGGGAATACTGTGCCCACAGCTATGCTCTGACACCTGTTCCTGCACAGCCCCTACTGATGTGCATGTCTTTCCCAGGCATAGCCTCTCCTGCCCCAGGAAGGCAGAAGAAGGTCATGATCAGCCCCCAAGTGTTCATGCAGGCCCTTTCCTAGCCATTATCTCAGTTAATTTTCTCAACAGTCCAGAAAACTGGTGATACTGTCCCCAATTTACAAAGAAGGAGTCTAAACGTCAGGAAGGATATGTCACTTCTCCAGAGCCACAGGGCTAGTAAATTGGGCTGAGCTTTAAATGGGGTTTTGTAGACTCCAAAGCATGTGCTCCCTCCCTGCACTGCGCTGACTTCTAGCACAACTGGGGGAGGGGCACTGAGTGAAGAGGGGAATGGATAGACAAGTGGCAGCACCACACATTCTCAGGTGAAGGGTATAATCTGCCAGATGCTGGAACAGTCCTTGTAAGTTGAAGACAAGACTGGGGAAGAGGCCACAGGAGCCATGAAAACCACAGAATCCTCCCAGGTTGGTCCTTAGCCCAAGAAAAGGATTCTCCCTACCTTCCTAAAGCAAATTCCCTTTGCTCCCTGCTCAAGCTCCCTGGTACTTGGGCTCTGAGTTTCCGCCCTGAGCATCCTTTGCCTCTATTGCCCTGGGCAGAGAGCCTAGAAGAGAAGCCTATTCTCAAGGCACTGTCATGCGGGCCTCTCTGCCATGCCGGCCCCTCTGCCATGGGCCCTCTCAGCTCCTCACCTTTCCTGATGGAGGTGAGTCCTTTCCAGAGCTGCTAGAAGTTTTTCCTCTGCCTCCTCTAAGGTCTACTTCCAAAGAATTTTTTTTTTTCACTCTTGATACTTTTTCTTTTCAGACTAGAAAGAAGAACCTACTTCACCTAGCTGTCCTAAGAAGTCTTCCTGGACTGACTGAAAGGCGAGGCTAAGCTCTACCAAGTTGGAGTTGACTGGCTTCTCAAGAAGCTTTGAGCAGGGGGAAGAGGGGAAGGCCCAGCCCCAAGTCCGGGCAGCCCATTACACCTGGAGCCCTCTGGGATGACACTTTGACCCATCATTCCCCCGTCTACCAGCTGTCCATCCTGGCCTATCTTGATTTATCCTATGTAACCAGAGCTGTGATTCCTATGTCCTCTGAGCTGGAAGTGGCATCTCATGTCTAATAAAGACTCTTGAATGTTTAATAACAGTAATAATGGTAGTGGGTGTACCTGGGCAGGGCTGAAGGGGAGGGACTGTGTGAGATGGGGGGTGATGCGGGGCTCCCTCTGACAGAGACCATGGCACAGAAGCCTCACTAAAAGCAGAACTTCACCTGCTGGGGCCGGGCATAATCTCGTCGGTCCCCACTCAGAGCAACATGCTGATGCTCCCAGACAAGGAATCACCCATGTGTTATCCCAAGGACCAAGAGAATGGGAAGGGGGTGGGGGTGATGCATCCCCAGAGTGCCTATGCAGGAGATCACTAGGTGGCCCTCTGCCACCTCTACAAAGGACCCTCCCTCAGGATGGGTTTGGACAAACCACAGAGAAGGAGCACTCCGGCCCACAGAGCCACCTAGTTCTGCTGCTTCTCTGTCCATTCTCATTGGAAACAGAAAGGAGGGGCGGTGCTTGTGGCTCAGTTAGTAGGGTGTCGGCCCCATATACTGAGGGTGGCAGGTTCAAACCCGGCCCCGGCCAAAGCTGCAACAGAAAATAGCCAGGCATTGTGGCAGGCTCCTGTAGTCCCAGATACTCGGGAGGCTGAGGCAAGAGAATTGCTTAAGCCCAAAAGCTGGAGATTGCTGTGAGCTGTGACACCATGGAACTCTACTGAGGGTGACAAAGTAAGACTCTGTCTCTAAAAAAAAAGGAAACAGAAAGGAATGAATATGGTTACTAAGAGGGTTCAGGTCTGAGAGCAGGCAGGACTTTCAAAGAAATAATAAGACATGAGAGGAATCATAAAGGGGCAGGGAAGCCATAGGAAGAAACTGGGGCTGTGCCTTTGACTCCATTTCCCCACACATTTGTATCTAACATGATTTCCCCAAACCCAGGCACCTTCTTACTCTCTTGAGAGCACTTGCTGGGCAGAGTTAGCAGAGCCCAGGTTGCCAGCACCAATGAAGCTCTCCATCACCTTCCAGAAGGTCAATTCTCTCCTGTAGCCACATCTTATGGAGCTATAGTTTGAGTCCTGGAATTTTTCTCTTTTTTTTAACTTTTTTTTTTTTTTT